GAGAAAAAAAGGGGGCGAAGGAAGCAGAGAAGGGGAAGACCAAGAAAGGGCCCGAGGGCTGAGGGATGGGAGGGGGTTGGCCTGGGGGCCCCCCCCAGAGGCCAGCAAAGAAGGCCCGGCCCGCCCCCCAGCCTACTGTGATTCTGCGGGAGGTGGCCGAGGTGGGCACGGGCCCTGCAGCTGACCAACCCCGCGTGTAGGTCCTCCCAGTCCTCGGGCCTCGGGCACCCCAGCCCCCTCCCCCCTTCTCCTCCTGACATGCACACAGTAGGTCCTTCCTCCCTGATCTCTGTAGGAGCCGCAGGGCAAGTGGGAAATAAACCAGGTGGGGCCCTCAGGGACCGGGGACAAGAGCACCTAGGCCGTGTGGGGGCCGCCTCCAGGGCCCAGGGACCTCTTGCAACCTGATGCTTCCCCAGGGAGCCCGGGGCTCCTCCCCTCTGCCGTGGGGCTGTCAGTCTTCACTCAGCCTTTCAACAAACAGAAGCTGAGCCCCGGATACAGGCTGGGGACAGCCGGACAGGAAGGACAAACACAGCCCTTGCACTGATGAGGGGACAGGGTACGGTGGGGGCCCTGACCCGGCGGGAAGGGGGAAGTGGGGCAGAGTGCGCAGAGAACAGGGAGTGGCTTCATGGGGGGGCCAGGGCCAAAGGACGTCCCCGGAGGTTATGGAGGTCACGCCTGGGCTCGCGCTGTTTCTACAGGCAGGTGGCCGGGACCTGTGGCCTGAGTCGGGGTGGGGGCCGTGGGGCTGGGGGTTTGGGAAACAGGGCTGGGGTGGGACAGCCACATGGGGTGGGGGGCTCAGGGGTGCAGGGAGGAGGGAAGGCAGGCAGTGGCCCAGGGGCACGTCAGGGGGCTCCCACCCGCCCTGGGGGCCCCAAATGGAATGAGGAAGGGTCTTACTATAAAGAACGTCAAAGACTTCCTCTACCATCTTCCGCAGAAGGTACGCATCCGAGCCGTGCTCCAGGGCCGACCGTGGGGCGCTCCGGCCGCCACCCTCGCCCCGCTGCACCTTCTTGGGGTGCTCTGCCTCCGGGTCCTTCCACGGGGGCCCTCCTGTGGGACACACGGCACCCATCTCACACCCCAACCCTGGGGCCGCCGTGACTCTGCCTTTGCTGGGCCCTGCAGCCTGGCACCCGGCTTAGTGCGCCAGGAAATGAATCAATGAGTGGAGAAGGGATTGAGAGAGCAAGCCGGGCCCTGGCTGCCCCACTGAGGGCCAGCGCTGGCCACTGCAGAGTTCCTCGTGCCCAGCACAGGACCTGTGTCTCAGCCCTGCTCACCTCCGACTTGCTGTGTGACCTTGGGCAGGCTCCTGCCCATTCTGGGCCTGGGTCTGTGAGTGTGTGTGGGAGACCAGCTGGCCAGGTGCAGAATTGGGGTAGGAGGTCTATCTGTCGCAGCCGCCCTTTTCTGTGCTCTGATACTGACCCCCCCACACCGCCCCGTCCTGTCCCATCTCAACCAACCTGGGCCCCAGCTTCCCGCTCTGTCCAAGGGAGAGAGGATGGGGCACCTGACCAGGACGCCATGGGGGCTCCAGAGAGGCTGGACCAGGCCAGGACCCCGGGGGGAACAGGGGGTCCAGGGACAGGATCAGCATCAGGGAGCACAGAGGGCTGCACGCTCCCACCCGGCTTGGAGCCTGCTCTGCTGGAAATCAGCCAGCCACCCTCCCAGTGCTATAAACAGTGGCTCTTGCTGGCTCTGGGAGGCCAGGTGCACCTCCCCCGGGCCCCAGCCTGGGAGACTGGGAGCCAGCACCTGCTACACCCACCCCAGCCCAGCCCAGCCCCCTGCCCTGACCTTGGAAGGGATTCAGGCTCGGGTAGGGGGTACTGAGCCGGCCGAGGAAGCAGCCACACCCTACTGATGACATGCCCAGTGCCCAGAGATGCCCTTCCCTGGCCGGTGAGGCCCTTAGTGCCAGGCCCGGCGTGGAACATAGGGGCTTGTGTTAGTGACAGTGACAGCCGCAGGCGAACAGTGGGTGGGAACTGAGTGCCACGTGCGTGCCACGCGAGACCTCATCACCCCCCAGACCCACCCCTGCCTCCCCTCCTCCACACACAGTCTGCGGGTGCAGGGACAGGCTGAGCACCCCTGACCCGGAACCCTGGGGACCGCTAGTGTTTCAGATTTTGGCGTTGTTGTGAGATTCTGGAATATTTGCAAATATAAGATGGGATATCTTGGGGGGATGGGACCCAAGCAGAAACACAAAATTCATTTGTTTCATGGCTGGCGTTGTGGTGCGGCAGGTTAAGCCTCTGCCTGGGATGCCGGCATCCCATGTGGGCATAGGTTCAAGTCCCCGATGCTCCACTTCTGATCCAGCTCCCTGCTCATGCACCTGGGAAGGCAGCAGATGATGGCCCAAGTGCTCAGGCCCCTGCCACCCATGTGGGAGACCTGGATGGAGCTCCGGGCTCCTGGCTTCTGCTTGGCCCAGCATCTAGCATTACAGCCATTTGGGGAGTGAACCATTGGATGGAAGATCCAACCCTACTTTTCAAATAAATACAACGTAAAAAAGAAAATTCATGTTTGTAAATACCTTATACATATTGCCTGAAGATGATTTTATATACTATTTTTAAAATGTTTATTTATTTGAGAGGCAGAACACACACACACACACACGCACAGAGCTGTCATGTGCTGGTTCATCCCCCAAATGCTTGCAATGGCCCCAGGCAGGGGACTAAAGCCAGGAGCCAGAACTCACGCCAGGTCTCTCCCGTGGGTGGCAGGGGCCCATCTACCTGACCCACCACCGCTGCCACCGACAGTCGTCATCGGTGAGAAGCTGGGGTCAGGAGCGGAACTGCAGCCAGGCACATGGGAGCCGGGAGTTCCCGCCGAGGGAGGGGCCGTGTCAGGGCGGGCAGAACGGGCACAGGCCAGGGACTGGGGGCCCCGTACAGCCTGGGCCAAGGGAGCACAAGAAGTTCCTGGGGGCGGGAGAGGGGCTGTGGAGGTGGGGGCTGAGTTAAGAGGGGCCCTGAGGCCCCTGATCAGGGGGAGGACTTGGGAGCCACAGAGGGACCCCTCTGTCTCTGGCTCAGTGACAAGGACCCCCTGGCAGGGGCCCTGGGCTGCTGCCCGCGCACCTCCCCGACTCTGAAGGGTGCAGCAGGAACCACAGAGCTGGCCTCAAAGCCTGCCTGCCTGCCTCGCGAGCTGGCCGCACACTCCGTCCTGGGCCTCAGTGTACCCGTCTGTGAATGGGTACCTGCGAGGGGGCTGGCTCTGGCCCGTGCCGTGGCTCCGTCTGCCTGTGTCCATTGGCCAGGGTGGGCTGGGAGAGGGCTGGTGGAGAGCCTGAACCACAGCTGTGGCCGCCCCTGCCGCCGGGCTGGGACCCCCGCCCCCGCCCCCGCCCCCGCCCCCGGGGGTACTCACGGCAGAACCTGAGGAAGTCGGCCTGCAGCTCCTTCCGCGCGCTCAGGAACAGCCGGCCCTTCTCTGTGCCCACCACGAAGGCGCTCTCGTCATGTACGGCCACGCACGCCACCTCCGCGTTCAGCTTGGACAGTGCCGAGCACTGTGGGGAGCGGGGCCCGGCGTGAGCTAGCAGGAGGCTGCCCCTCCCTGCTCGGCCACACCCACAGGGGCAAGTGTGGGGGTGCCGGGGAGCGGCGGGGCTGAATGAATGCATGCATGCATGAATGAATCAATGGCTCCCCGGAGGTTGGCTGTGGGGCTGGAGGAGGACAAATGCCCGCTGGTCCTCTTCCCTCTAGGGTGGGCTTCCTACCCTGGCCCCAGTCCCCATCATGTCCAGGGCTCTCCTGGCCCCTCCCAAAATCCTGGGCCAGGGGCCACTGGGATGAGACCCCCGTCCCAGGGGAACAAGGGCTCAGACAGCCCCAGGCTCCCTGCCCACGCTCTCTGGGACGCAGGCTTCCCTCTCTGCATGGTTGGCGGCTACTCCTGGGGTCTCAGTGGCTGTGGGGGGTCCCAGGTGCACTGGCTGCAGGCAGAGCCTATCCTAGGACAGCGGATGCAGGTAGACCAGCAGGCTGGCTACCTTCCTGGCCCGAGTTGAGGCTGCCAACTCCGGCCCTGCCTCATCAGGAACACCCGGCAGCTAGCACCTACGGCATGCAGTGTGGGGAGCAAACCGGACTAGACTGAGTTACTGGAATTAAGACTTATTCTATGCATCTGCTCTCCCACAATATGGCGCTGGGAGAGAAGTAAACAGCTTCCACACAGCTGCCTCCAGTTCAACCAATAAACTGTAGGACTTGCTCCTGATTGGAGAGCAGCGTACTCGGCGTGTGGGCAGCCGAGTTGGGATTGGCGGAGGAGGACTATAAAGGAGGAGAGAAACGGCATACACGAGGAACATCTAAGGGGAACATCTAGCTGAAGGAACACCTGTGCAGCCCCCCAGAGAGCCGGCCGGTGGTGTGCCGCTCCCCTGCGGAAGTGGGGAATGTGGCCAGGGGGAACTGCCCTTCCACGGAGGTGGAAGGGATAGTATAGCCAACCCGGGAAGAACCAGCAGCAAACCCGGGGAGGGCCGAGCAGACGAAAGAACAGCGCAGGGTCCTGTGTCGTTCCTCCACGAAGACGGGGAGCGACATAATGGTGCCGTGACTCGGATATGAAGCCTAGGCAGGGCTTAGTGTCGTTCCTCCATGAAGAGGGGGAGCGACAATGCAGTTGGTGCCTAATAAATGCTGAGCTTTCATTTTCAGTCCATTTCTTTCTTTCCATTCGATTGGAACAGGAAGAGGGACACAGCCCTCTGCCTTCTGCGGTTCACTCCCCAGATGTGCACAACAGCTGGAGCCTGGAATTCCATCTGTGTCTCCCATGTGGGTGGCAGAGGCCAGAGGACTCGAGTCATCTCCTGCTGCCTCCCCCGGGGTGCGTTTTGGCAGGAGACTGGAATTGGAAGCAGAGGAGCTGGGACTTGAACCAGGCACTCTGATATGGGATGCGGGCACCCCCAAGTGGTGACTTCACTGCTATGCCAGGCACCTGCCCCTGAACTGCTGGTTTTCAGGAGCTGAGCAGCACTCATGGAGGGTTATAAAGTCTGGTTTCTGGTCGTAGCTTGGTGCTGTGTGACCTAAGACCGGTTCCTCAACCTCTCTGGGCCATAACCTCGACTCCCGTTCCAGCTCCAGCCAGCAGTCACTCTGGTGAGGAAGCAGTGGCCAGACCAGCGGGCCTGCCCTCTGGCGTCTCCTGCATGCTCGTTTCCTGCTCTCCCAAGAGGAGATGAGGTCACTACTTCCAAGGCAGGAAGGACTGTCAGGGCTGCACAGACCCTGCACTGCGGGGCTGCTGCTCAGCTGCAGCCCAGGCCGGGGCGGGGGACCTCGCCTCCCCCGGGGGGCCACAGGGGGACGCGGGAGACAGGGCCTGCAGGGGTGCCCCTGCCGCCCCAAGAACCCCGGCCCCAGCCCTGTGCTACTGTCAGCCCGAGTGTCCCGCAGGGAACCCTGACGGGGCCCAGGCCCGTCCTGTTGGTGCTACCAGGACCACTCCAGGGTCCTTGGCTGCCCCTGCTCTTCCTCCTCTTCCTCCTCCTCCTCCTCTTCCTCCTCCTCCTCCCCCCCCAAAGTCCTCTAGCCCAGCGCTGCCCACTGGCACTTTCTGTGCCAAGAGATGCAGTCTCTCCTGTTTTTTTTTTCTTCAAAGATTTATGATTTTATTTTTTGTCCTTTTAATTACTTAATTAATTAGAGAGCGAGCACTTCCAATTTGCCGCTTCACTCTCCCAAACGCCCAGCGGGTGGGAACTCCATCCGGGTCTCCCACGTGGGCGGCAGCGACCTAAGTACTCGAGCCATCACCTGCTGCCCGTGGGCGACAGTAGGAAGCTGGAGCCAGCAGTGGAACCAGGACTTGAACCCAGGTGTCCCGAGCAGCGTCTGAGCCCAAGGCCCGGGCCCGCCGTGCACCGGCCCACGCTGCAGCCACAGCCGCCTCTGACCCCCGAGCACTCGGACCAAGGCTCCCGTGACTGAACAAACAAGGAGCAAGGAGAGAGAGCGGGCACCAAGGCAGCCTTCTGGCATCAGGAACAGCCGAGAGCCAACCTGGGAGGAAGGCCCTTGTCCCCGCGGGGGAATCCGCTGCTTCATGCTGTGTGACTGCAGGCCAGGTGCTGCCCTCTCTGGCTCCCGCTCCCCCGCCCTCCCAGGCAGCGAGCCGCTGATGGCAGATGAAAATGTTTTTTTCACACCTGCCTACGTTCCGTCGTCACAGAACTGTCACCCATGAAGAGGGTGGTTATTTCCTCCTCTGGGACCAACTGCCGACAGGTGCGTGGGTAGGCAACAGTGCCCGGGGCAGTGGGTGGCAATGCGGCGGTGATAACTCTCCCATTTACAGGGAGAGCATGGCTCACGCCTGGGGGCAGGAAGGGAACAGCAAGAGGGAACCCTGGGAAGACAAGGGCTGGACGTCCCCGGACTTGACCTCCAGAGCAGCGGCCCGGCCCCCGCTCTGACCCCCTCCCTCCTCCCGGCAGGTGGGCTCACCATGGAGTCCAAGGCGGACACCAGGCTGGTGATGATCTCGTCTTTGCGGGCGAAGGCGGCATTCCAGCGGTCGGGCCCGCAGCCGTTGGCGGGGATGTCAGGGCGCTTCCCCAGCAGGGCCATGGTCACCTGGAGGGATGGAGGAGGCAGCGCAGTGGGTGTGAGGCACGGGGCAGGGCACCTGCTCCTACCCACCTGGCCCCCGCTCTGCTCAGGGACGATCTTGTGGATTGTCGTGGGCCTAGCGGCTTCTAGCACCCCACTTCCTGTGCCCACAGCCTGGCTGGGGCAGGTGCCCTCACTGGCCTCCCCTTCACAGGCCCCTGAGCCTCAGTCTACTTCCTGGCTGTGGGTGAGAGGCCCCAGGGTAGGACTTTGTACTCCTGAAGCCAACGTGAGGCCCCGGGGAGGGGAGGGGAGGGGAGGGGAGGTAGAGCTGTCACCTCCCTGCTGGGGCTCCCTCAGGCCAGGGCTCCTATGGGGCTCAGGCTTTGCTGCCCCTGCCCCGCCCAGCCTGGACACCCCCCCAAACACCAGCTCCCCCAGGCTCCTGCTTCCACCCCGCCCTCCCCTTCCTGAGCTTGGAGTCAGGTCCAGGGGCCACCCCCAGGCTGTTCCAGTGCCAGTGCCTGCCCTCCCCATGAGAGCAAAGGAGAGGGAGGAGCCGGGAGGCGGGAACCCTGGGTTTCCCATTCTGGGGAGCAGGCAGCACTGGGTGTGGGTGGGAAGCACCAGGCAGGAGCCCCCAGGGGTTGGCACCTTAAGGGCGTCCTCTGTGGCCGGGACTGCCCCCAGACGCTCAGCTCTTCCAGGGCAGGGACCAAGTCTGCTGCCTCTGCTGCCCCACATGTGCAACTGCGCCAAAGCGGGGAAGCCCCCCAACCACAGACTGCGGCCTCTCGGGGGCGCCCAAGAGTCTGTAGCAGGTGCGGGTCTCCTGGCCCAGCAGTGCCCTGGGGCTGGGGATAAATGCTGATGGGAACAACCAGCCAGACCTGCTTCTGCCCCCGGGCTGCGACTGTATAAAGTTTGAAACACACGGTGTTAAGGGATGCACAAGGGATGATGGGCCACCCATGGGACATAGCCACGGATGGCGCATGCGTGGACCAAGAGGCAGCAGGGCCACCCTGGGGACATTACGCCGCAGGAAGCCTGTCCCAGGGTCTGCGGCGGCTCCCCCAAAGCCCCCACTGAGAGATCTGCCTGCCGGTCTAGGAGCTCCCAGGCGTCCACCCGTCCCTCCTGTCACTGGCCACTCCCTTGAGCCATTCCCAGAAAGGCCTCCGGGCTACCAGACTCCTGGCCAGCCACAGAGGCACAAATTGAATCAAGGTCAAGTGGGAGGCACCAGACGGTGCTCCAGCCCTGGCCTCCCCGTGGCCCGCAGCCTGCGGCTGGCTCCTTCCAGCGAAGCTTTTAATCCAGTTAGGACGGAACCAGGGACCTGGAGAGGGAGATGCAGACGCGGGGGCGGGGGCGGGGGCCTCTGCAGGCTGTGGCCTGACTCTTGTCCTGGCCAGCCCAGCCCTGTGTCCTGAGCTGGAGCCCAGGGGAGTGGATCTGGGGATGAGGGACGGAGGCCACCCCCTGCCAGTGCCTGGCACCTCTCCCCGGGGCCACGGCAGGAAGGCTGGCGGGCGGCCAGGAGGAGCCAGGCCCAGGTCTGGGACCATCACAGCAGGTGAACCCCATGCACACCCCGAGTCTCCTCGTTCGGCAGCCGAGACCCAGGCAGAGGGAAACCCCAGATAGAACAGAGAACCTGGAGGCAGGCGGGCAGCGAAGCCTGACCCAACTGTGCAAGATTCCAGGAAGTCCCCGGATGAGGGGGAAATGGAGACCTGTAGGGATGTCAACTGGGCACCGGCAGGAGTGTGGGCAGCCGGCTCCTGAGTCGTGGACACACATGGTCAGGATGCCCACTGTGCCCAGGGACCCCACAACACCACACCCTGGCTCCTGGGTGGGCAAGGCCTGCGGGGCTCAGGACGACAGCAGGGAGGCCACGAACAGCCCCCTCAGGGAGCCCCATGAATGGTTTGCCGGCCATGCCTTCTCCTGGCACCAACCTGGGGAGGGGGGAGGGGTGGTGGGGGGAAGGGCTGGGTCAGGGTCCTCTCCTTTTACCCCCATGTCCTCATGCGGCCCAGCTCCAAAACACACCCACAGCCATCCACGGCTGGCCTCGCCCAGGGCCACCTTGCCAACTAGGCCACTGCCCCCACCAGGGCGATGCCCTCCTCCCTGGCCCCCGGTCCTGCTCTTGTCCCCTTGGTCCCTGCTCCAAACACCAGACAGAGGGACTCCACCCAGCATCCACCTGGGGCCACGCTCCTGCTCGCAAGCGGCAGACAGCAAAGCAAGAGCGTCCCTCTGCAGTAAGCCCCGGGGGACCCTCTGCCCCTGCCCTGGGCTCCAGGCTCTTCCAGGTCTAGGTCCCCCTTCGGCTGTCTCCTGGTGCAGTCTGGGAGAAGTTCACCACCCACTCCTGGCATGGTTTCTCCAAGTAGACCGGGAGCCCCGAGGAGCAAGGAGCCAGGGGCCGGGGGCCGGGGGCCGGGCTGGTTTTCACGAGTGTGTGCCCAATGTCCAGGGGACTCACAAGCACTCAGGTCAGCTGGCTGGGGCTGCGCGTGCTGGGGGGTTCCCAAGCCACCTGCCTGGTGCTCAAGGGGTCAGGAGTTGAGAAACGTGGGAAATTGCAAGCCAGCCAGGATGGATTTGGATCACGAAGCGGGAAGAGCCTAGAGACTAGAGCTGATGATGAATGGAGCCGGGGCCAGGGTCTCAGTGCCCCGAAGAGCCCCGAGAGGGAGGCCGCATGGTCAGACAGGTGTCCAGGTCACGCCCCTGACCTGAAGCATCAGCAGAGCCAGCATCCGTGCACAGGAGCTACCGGCCTTGCTATGGCATCATGCTCACTCTCTCTCCCTAAGGTTCATTTATTTGAAAGGTGGAGTTAGAGAGAGAGAGATCTTCCGTCCACTGATTCACCCCCAAGATGGCCACAAAGGCCAGGGCTGGACCAGGCCGAAGTCAGGACCCAGGAGCTTCACCTGGGTCTCCCAAATGGGTGCAGGGGCCCAAACACTTGAGCCATCTTCAGCTGCTTTCCCAGGTGCATCAGCAGGGAGCCGGATCAGAAGTGGAGCAGCCGGGATGCAAACCAGCGCCTGTATAGGATGCTGGCATCGCAGGTGTCAGCTTTACCTGTTACGCCACAGCGATGGCCCCGGCCTCACTCTCCTCGACATGACAAAGGGACTTGCCAGGTCCCAGGGAGCATGCAGTGTGGACGAGGTCTGTCCGTGTCCAAGCCTGCCCTTCCTGCTGACATGCAGCGGGCGGGGACGATGCTTCCCACACTGGCTGTGATGCAGGGAGCAGAAAGCCCAGCTGACCTGCAATGGGACTTTTGTTTCTTTGAAAGGCATAGAGACAGACAGACACACACACACACACACGCTTCTATCTGCTGGGTCACTCCTCAAATGCCAGGAGAGTCCAGGGCTGGGCCAGGCCAAAGCCAGGAGCCAGGAGCTCCATCTGGGTCTTACACAGGACAACAGGGACCCAAGTACGTGAGCCGTCACTGCTGCCTCTCAGAGTGTGCATTAGCAGGAAGCTGGCATCGGAAGTGGAGCCAGGACTTGAACCTGGGCAATCCACGATGGGACGCAGGTCAAGCAGAGTCTTAATTGCTGCCCTGATGCCCACCTGACTGCCCTAGGCCTAGCACAGAAAGCCCCTTGTCCTGAGAAACCCCTCAGTCCCCAGTTACCCTGTGACACCCAGGCCAGGAGTCCACACCTCTCCCGGCAGCTGTGAGTGTGGACAGATGCTAAATGACCACCCGGCGGCCCAAAAAAGGCAACTTCCTTTGATGAGGGGGACACTTGGGGAAGGGGACAAAGAGAACAGGGAGACAGAGGTGGGGTGAAGAGGCCACCACGGTGACGTCTCCGAGGTCAGACACAGGCCTGTGCTGGGAACACCAAGAGGCAGAGCTGGGGCAGGTGGTGGAGCAACTGGAAGAACTCAGCTCTCCAAACTGCGGCACCTGCCCCACCGCCCAGCCTCCGACCACACTCGGCACACCTGGGCAGGAAGTGGCACCTGCTCTATCGCCTAGCCTCCCGACCACACTCCGCACAACTGGGCAGGAAGGCCGGCAGTTAGCACAGCTGTGACTCCACCCCCAAGAATATCAGTGAGCAGTCGGGACAAGATTCTGGACTTGGGACACACAGCCTGCTCTCTCTCTCTGCTCCTCCACTGGCCACGACACTCAGCTCAGAGGAACAAGGCCGACAGGGGAGGCCCAGGTGCCAGGACGGCCAGCTGAGTGGCTGGTGAGTCACGTGCAGATGCCAGGCACATGGCCAGAGGCCCAGGGCTTCAGAACCACACAGAGGACACCCAAGGGGGTACAGAGCCAGCATGCCTGGCGCCGAGGCAGCATGACCTGGCCGGAGGAAGCCCCAAGGCAGTTCCCTAAATGCTGGGGCCAGCCCAGTCCGGAGCGGGGTCTCACAGCTGCCCCCACCCTCCACAGGGAAATTCTCGCCCCAAAGGCCCCAGAACCAGGACCTGAGCCCGATGTCCCAAAGTCCAAGACACTTACACCACACCATGTGTGTATAAGCCTTCTGCTCCCCACCCAGGGGCCCTGGGGCAGGTGTGGGGGGTGGCCCAGGCTACTCCTCCCCCACCCCACTGTGCAGATGCTGCCCCTGGCTGTGGCCTAGCCAGGAAGCCAGGACCCTATCGTTCCCCACCCCACAAGCATCCGCAGACCTGTAGGAGGAGTGTGAGAGGGGAGTGTGAACTCAGCAGTGTGAGTGTAGCAGATGAGCAAGGGGACGATGGCCATGGCTACGAGAGGGACCCAACAGGCTGAGGACGGCCACAGTGAGGCTGGGGGCCCTGGCCCACCCGCTGGGGGAGGGGTGCACGTCCCCACACGGACTCGGGGTTGCACCAAAGAAACCAACGTCAGCAGCTCCCCGACCACCGGCACAGCCGTCACTAACAATTCCCAGACAACCGCGGGGGAGAGGGGGTCAAGTTCAGCACTCAAGAGCATTCCTGGTCCGCGGGGGGAGCCGGTCAGCTCCAGTCCAAGC